AAACAACACAATAATGTTGCTTCTCTTGTTTTCTTGAATTTATTCCAAAGTGGGTAAGTTGGTCTGGGTCAGCCAATTTGGAGAGGCTGCTGAGAGGGCCGCATGAGGGCGCTGTGTGAGTTCAAGTCCCAGGAGAATCTTCAGGTTTTTTGTTTCTCTCTCAGAAGACCTTTTAATCTTTTCCTTTGTTATTGTTACTGATTTAGTTCCTTACTTAGTTTTTAGAGACTGGGTCTTGGTCTGTCACCCAGGCTGGAGTGCAGGGCGCTATCATAGCTCACTGCAGCCTTGACCTCCCAGGTTCAAGCAGTCCTCTCTGCCTCAGCCTCCCACGTAGCTGGGACCACAAGCACCCACCACCGCACCTGGATAATTTTTTAACGGTTTGTTTAAAGCAGTTTTCTTGCCCTGTTGCCCTTGATATACTGATCTGTATGCTTAGTACACATTCTTCATGCAAAACTGAAAACCAGCCTTGCATGTATAATAATACACCATGGGCTCTCTGAGCTCCTGAGTTCTGTTTCTCAATTTTCCATGCCCTGACTTCCTGATCTTAATAACCTCTCGGCAGAGCGGTTAGAGTGCTGGTAGAGTCTCAGGACGCAGAGACTGCTGAAAGGCGTCAACAGTGTTGCCTCACCAACTTTACTGGTCTCTCGTGCTCTTTTCCAGTCAGATGAAATCTATGCGTGGTTCCCCCAAAACACGTATCCATGCGCACACCTGCAGAACTGGCATACAACTTCATGGGGTTCCTGGATCCCCACTGAAGATCTGTGGATCCCAAGTTAAAGAAGAACTGATCTAGGACATAAACCTTTGTCGTTAATATTTCTTTAATAATAGCTTTATTGGGGTATAATTGACATTCCATAAAATTCACCCTTTACAAGGGTATGGCTCAGTGGTTTTTAGTATATTCACAGAGTTGTCCAACTCCACCACTACCTAACTTGAGAACAGTTTTATCCTAAAACTAAACCCCGTGCTCATTAGCAGTCACATCCCATTCCCCTCCTGTCATTGATATTTATGTCTGTATTGCCATAAACAAAGAAGTTACCAACAAGCAACCAGTCCTCTTCACATTTGTGAGTCAAACCTAAACTAGTTGATAAAGGACGCCTGAAACTTGCGTCTAACCTGTATCTGGTGGAAAAGTCTTTTATTTCTCCAGCTACAACAGATGGTTGTGAATATTTCCCTCCTTGCCAGAGAATGCGCCCAACAGCGACTCTCAGCCTCCTCCTTCCTGTTTGACAACAGCAGTGCCAAGTCCCTCCAAACCCCGCACAGCACAATTGGTCCTACAGCGAATGCAGCAGTTCAAGAGAGCAGACCCCGAGCGTTTGAGACATGCTTCAGAAGAGTGCTCCCTCGAGGCTGCACAGGAAGAAAATGTCCCAAAGGATCCTCAAGAGGAGATGATGGCGAGGAATGGTATGATGGGTGTGTTTCTGTCTTCCACACAGAGATAGTTTATGAGCTTCCGCCTCGCCCCGCCTCCTTCCGACCGGAAGCGCTGGCCGCCGCGCGCCGCGCCCGGAGCCGCAGAGGAAGACGGGAAGTGAGGCTGCCGCACCACCGCGCGCGCCCGCTCTGCGCCTGCGCGCAGGCAATTCTCCGCGGGGGCGCGGGCGGCGCATGCGCAGGCGCGTGAGTCTCCGTTAAGAAGGTGCCGCGGCGGCGCCGGAGGTAGGAGGAGCCGGGCTGTGGGGTTGGGAGTCTGCACCCGGGAGGTGGAGGTCCTGTCACCTCGAGCCGTTCTCGCTCTCCTTAGGGAGAAGAGCCTTTCTCTCCCGTTTCCCTCGCTGACTCCGTGGCCTCTGCAGGCCCGCAGCCCCGACGGAGAAGCAGGAGCCGCGCTCGGGTGGAGAGGGGCCGGGGCCCGCCTGGAGGGAGGAGGGTGGCTGATCTGTATCCCCACGGCGGTCTCGGTCCGGGCCAGTCCGGGGATCGGGGTTCTCCGTCTGACTTTAGAGCCGTTAGAGTCTTTGGCAGCCCTTTTCCCAGGCAGGGAATCCCTCAGCCCCTTTCCGTAGGTCGCCGGGTTGGGGGAAGCGGGAGGGTCCGCCCCTCACCGATCCATTCATTCATCCCGCTCCTGCTGTGAGCCGTGCGCTGCGGTAGGTAAGAAGCGAGAAGGCACAAGACCCCTTCCCTCTGGAAACCTGTAGGCTTGCAGGATCCGTTATGTCATTCAGTAAATATTGATTGTGCACCTACAGGAGGAGATAGACTGTTGTTAGGTTCTTATCTACAGAGATGCAGAGATCAACACAGTTGTGGAGGGTGGCATTTGTTCCAGCCGCTCCCCACATCCAACAGGATAAATTTCACTTTGCCTAGCCTGACCTTCCAGGCCCTTGTGAGCCGATCCCTGCCTCTCCCCGCAGCCTTTTCTCCTACACCTTTCTGTCTACTCCCATTATACCAAACTCTTTGCAATTCATGAATTCAACAAGTAGTTGTCGAGCACTTACTTCAAGTCAGGCACCGGATCAGCCAAAGAGGATGCAAAGTAAAATAGATGGATCTCTACCCTCCTGAAGTGTTGAGCTTAATGGGGGACAGATAATAAGCCGATTAATAAAAACACAAGAGGGGATAATTTGGAACGACGCTTCCTGGGTTTGATCCTAGCCCTGCCACTTTGAAAGCTGTTCCTGAACTAGCTTTGAGCCAGTTCCTTATTCTGCTTGCGCATTTCCTTGCTGTAAAGAGAGGATGACAAGAGATTCCACCATATAGGTTTCTTGTAAGGATTAAATGAGTTTGACTTGAAAAACAATTGGAACAGTGCTTGGCACACAGTAAGCATTCAATAGATATTATCTGTTTCATATGATTATAACCTATGACAGATGCCATTGTGAAAACGGTGGATGATGATAGGGATGCGGATGGAGAGGGTCCATAAAGGATTAGAGGACACTTCTCTGAGGGGAAGACACAGAAGAGAATGAGCCAGACACAGAAAGTAGATTCTAGGTAGGGGTATTTTCAGCTCTGGAAAACAAAATGATTAATCAGATTCCTTGGACAGTGGAGATTGCATTATTGTATTTGAAAGGAATAACTTTCTGCCATTGGGTCATTCAGTTTTGATTTTTGAACCACACTAAGCATGCGCCAAAGTAAATAGCCATGCCCACAAGGCCCAACCTTTGTATAGAGGCGATATTCTAGTCATACAGGTTTGGAGAGCCTTGCTGGGTTGAGAAGATAAGGAAAAGTGACCTTTTGTGTCCTGAGTGTTCATGAGAAGGTAGTTTCTCTTCCTGTCTCTTATGTTGCAGTATTTACAGAAAGAGCCTCTTTAACAGCCAGGGGTCTTAAATCAGTGTAGGAGATAGTTTTCTGAGATTTGGGGATCATCCTGTTTCTATGATGACTGCCTTTCATGGGGTTTGCTCCCTAAATTTCAGTTAAGAAAACACTCTCCCAAGATGCACACATGTTAATTCCTGTGGAAGAACATGCTTTGACAGGTTTCTGGATCCTTCTGTCGTGATGTCTGATAGGACGATTAGACCATGTTAACCAGGCTGGACTGAGTATTTGACAGTATTGTTACTCTGAAGACTTTTCCCTTACCCCACATGCCCTTGTCCCTCCCTGGAAGAACTGGCATAAAATGACAATGTCCGATTACACTTACATGCTTTTGGTTTTCCACAGATGTGAAATTAAGTGAACCATATATGTTTCATCATCGTGGAGATCTTGGAGAATTATCTGAGCACCAGGTTCATATGTATTCAATCTAGAGGCATCTATTGGACAACAAAACACTCTTTTTCAATTGTGGACTTTATTTATTATTATTATTTTTTGAAACAGAGTTTTGCTCTCATTGCCCAGGTTGGAGTGCAGTGGCACGATCTCGACTCATTGCAATCTCCGTCTCCCAGGTTCAAGGGATTCTCTTGCCTCTGCCTCCCGAGTAGCTGGGATTACAGGCGTCTGCCAGCACACCTGGCCAATTTTTTGTATTTTCAGTTGAAACGAGGTTTCACCATATTGGCCAGGCTGGTCTCGAACTTCTGACCTCAGATGATCCACCCCCATTGTCCTCCAAAAGTGCTGGGATTACAAGTGTGAGCCACCGCACCCAGCCCAGTTGTGCACTTTAACAGAGGGAAGCTTTAAACATGTTCAACCACAGGCCCAATTTCAACAAAGATACTTCAGTCATTATAGAGAGGAAAACAGTACTTTTTGTTCAATTGTGCAAACTCTCCAAGTACCTAATTGAGAAGTAGAGAGGAAGCCTAATGAAACTGGGTGAATGAGGCTCAGCTAGGCTTCTACTTGGGTTCACTTTCTCATCTGTCTGCATGTCCCGGGATTGACCCTCGCTCCTCTGAAGACCAGCCTGAAAGCCTTAAAACTGGTCAGTGATGGATGAGTCTGATGAGGACTTTAAAGAACTCTGCGCTAGCTTTTTCCAAAGGGTGAAAAAACATGGAATCAAGGAACTGTCAGGAGAAAGGAAGACACAAAACGCCTCCTCAAACGGCACTCAGGTAAGACGCAAATTGAAAAGGACCAAACAAACTGCTACCAAGACCAAAACCCTTCAAGGCCCTGCAGAGAAGAAACCTCCATCTGGCAGCCAGGCCCCTAGGACTAAAAAGCAAGGGGTAACCAAATGGCAAACAAGTGAACCGGCCCTCTCTGTGAATGGGGAGGCGGGTGTGCTCGCCTCTGCTCCAGATCAGCCTGTGCTCTGGGAAACAGCACAAAACACCCAGACGGGTAACCGGCAAGAACCATCGCCAGACCTTTCCAGAGAGGAAACCAGAGGTAATTTGTACTCTTTTAAACCGGGGGCTGGAAAACTTTATGGAAAGAGCCAGATTGTAAATATTTTGGCTTTGTAGGCCATAAGACTCTGTCACAACTCTGCTGTCATAGTGAGAAAGCAGGCGTGGACAATATGTAAATGAACAGGCATGGCCATATGCCAGTAAAGGTTTATTTACAAAAATAGGCAGCCAGCCACATGACTGTAGTTTGCTAACTCTTGGTTTATTTTTATTTATTTATTTATTTTTTAAAATTTTTAAGCTTAAAAAAAAATTCAGAGCTGGAGGTCTGACTATGTTGCCCAGGCTGGTCTTGAACTCCTGGCTGCAACCAAACCTCTACCTCAGCCCCCCAAAGTGCTAGAAGTACAGGTGTGAACCATTGCGCCTGGCCCTCTTCCTTTTTTTTTTTTTTATTTGAGATGGACTCTCACTGTTGCCCAGGCTGGAGTGCAGTGGTGTGATCTCGGCTCACTGCAACCTCCGCCTCCCAGGTTCAAGCAATTCTCCTGCCTCAGCCTCCCGAGTAGCTGGGATTACAGGTGTGCACCACCATGCCCAGCTAATTTTTGTATTTTTAGTAGAGAGGGGGTTTTGCTGTGTTGGCCAGGCTGGTCTCAAGCTCCTGACCTCAAGTGATCTGCCTACCTCAGCCCCCCAAAGTGCTAGAAGTACAGGTGTGAACCATTGCGCCTGGCCCTCTTCCTTTTTTTTTTTTTATTTGAGATGGACTCTCACTCTGTTGCCCAGGCTGGAGTGCAGTGGTACCATCTCAGCTCACTGCAAGCTCCGCCTTCCAGTTCCAAGCCATTCTCCTGCCTCAGCCTCCAGGTAGCTGAGACTACAGGCGCATTCCACCACGCCTAGCTAATTTTTGTGTTTTTAGTAGAGATGGGGTTTCACCATGCTGGCCGGCCAGGCTGTTCTCGAACGCCTAACCTTGTGATCTGCCCGCCTCAGCCTTCCAAAGTGCTGGGATTACAGACGCGAGCCACTGTGCCTAGCCAAATATACATATTTTTCTTCCATATTATCTGAAAGTAAGTTATAGACATCAGGATCCTTCACCCCTAGATTCTGCTGCATAACTACAATACCATTATCACGCTTAATTCCATAATAGTGCCTGGCATCCAGTTCAAATTCAAATTTCCCCAATTGTCTCAAGGTTATTTTTTGTAGCTGGTTTCTTTTTTTTCGGGACAAGGATTCAGTAAGTTCACATGCTGCATATTGCTGTAGCTCAGCAGTCTCCTAAGGTCTAGATTCTAGAATAGTCCCCTTGTTTTCTTTTGTTTTCCATGACATTGACTTTTTTTTTTTTTTTTTGACAGAGCCTTGGCTAGAGTGCAGTGGCGCGATCTCGCCCCACTGCAACCTCGGCCTCCCAGGTTCAAGCTATTCTCGTGCCTCGGCCTCCTGAGTAGCTGGGATTACAGGCACCCACCACCACACGCGGCTAATTTTTTTGTATTTTTAGTAGAAATGGGGTTTCGCCATGTTGCCCAGGCTGGTCTTGAACTCCTGAGCTCAGGCGATCTGCCCTCCTCAGCCTCCAAAAGTGCTAGGATTAGAGGTGTGAACCACCGTACCCAGCCCCATGACAAAAACTGAGTTTTTGAAGAGGCTAGTCTAATTGTATTATAAGATTTCCCACTCTCTGGATTTGTTTATTTCTTTATGGGATCCTTTAACTCCTTCCTCTAACCCTTGGGTTGCCCCGGGTTGCCCCACTCTGAGTGGATTAGAGGCTCATTGGCTCCAGGTGACAGCGTGTGGAGACAGTGCCCCATAGCTGCTGTGCACTTGGTGTAGCACCAGCCCCATAAGCATAATAATGCCAGGTGCTTCTGTTCTCCATCCCCGAAACAATATGGATTCTCATTTCTGATGAAAATTTACAAAGGGAAAAGAAATAGGAAGAAACTATTATTGGCGGACCTAGAGCTAATAAGTATGCAGGCTCTTGGCATTGCATTGCAGATTTCACTTCAGTAACACCGAGGAGTCTCAGGCCGCCCCAGGGTCCACAGCAGGCAGTGATTTGATGTCCTGCGGAGGCATCAGTCCTGGATGCACATGTGAGGTGTAGAGGAGGCACCCAGCTGGTGTGAGCTCCGCCCCTGCCCAGCATTTGACTCAGTTCTCTCTGTATCTTCACATCACACCCAGCAAGCTCTCAGAAAGAGATAAACCATTTCTTTGTTAAGAAACCAAACCAGGCTGAATGCGGTGGTTCACACCTGTAATCCCAGCACTTTGGGAGGCCAGGGCAGGCAGATCACCTGAGGTCAGGAATTCAGGACCACCCTGGCCAATATGGTAAAACTCCGTCTCTACTAAAAATTAGCCAGGTGTGGTGGTGTGCACCTGTAATCCCAGCTACTGAGGAGACTGAGGCAGGAGAATCACTGGGACGTGGGAGGCGGAGGTTGCAGTGAGCTGAGATCACGTCGATGCACTCCAGCTTGGGGACAGAGTGTGAGACGGTCTCAGGAAAAAAAAAAAAAAAAGAAGACGACCAAACAAAACAGGGCACCAAAATGAAGGTGTGCTGTTTTGCTGGCCTCAGTGGCAGGCACTGGTAGGCCACAGCCATCAAAAACTTGGGGGTTTATGAGGCGTTCAGGGCGTATCCCTTGTGAGTGACAGGGGTCTGCTCTAGCAATACCAGATGGGCCACCCTGGGAGCCATCTCAAGACCAGAATCAGTCCATTCTTGCGTCTGATGCTAAGTAAGAGATGCTGCTTTTTAACCACCAAGGGCATTTCACTCTGCCCTGGTTTTATCACAGGCAGTAAAAGGTCAGCAGGAAAGGTTGAGCTTCGAAGAGAACATCTAGCTTTGTTGGAATATGAGCCTTGTGAACCTGCAATGCGCAAGGTAGCTGACTTCAGCAGAAGTGGGGAAGTTTAGGTCCTTGCTACTCAGAGTGGTCCTGCGGTGCCAGCATCGCCAAGCCTGGGGGCTGCTAGGAAGGCGGAGAGTCTCAGGCTGCACCTGGACCCCCTGAATTTGAATCCGAGTGTCGACAAGCTTCCCAGGCAATGCATATGCATGTTAAAGTTGGAGATGGCTGTTGCAGAAGTGCTGACTAGTGCCCAGTCTCACTGGACAGTGCCTGAGTCACCGGTCTGCAGAGTGGAGCTGGGTTCTGGTTTATTTGTGCTCCCCCTGCTCCCCATGGTCTGCAAGAGCTGACAGAGCAGAGGTCTGAGGGTGAGCTTGTCTTTGGAGTTGATCCTCACGGATCTTTGGTGCTTCTCCACAGTGTTTGGGCTTGGGCCCCCTGCCCCAGAGAGCGACGCTGCGGTGGCCTTGACCCTGCAGCAGGAGTTTGCACGGGTAGGAGCATCGGCACATGATGATAGCCTGGAGGAAAAAGGGTTGTTCTTCTGCCAGATTTGTCAAAAGAACCTCTCAGCCATGAACGTGACCCGAAGGGAACAGCATGTAAACAGGTGGGGGCAGCGTGGGCCATCACCTCTCCCACGTACGTGACCAGAATCCCCGGGCACCCCAGGGCTGGAGTGGGGATCTCCACACCTTACTGTGAAAATAGCACCTCAGCTTTGTTGTCAACCTACCCCTTTTTAAAAAATAACTTTGTTGAGGTATAATTCACAGAACATATAGTTCACCCATTTATTCACACAGTTGTGCAACTGTCACCACAATCACTTTGGATTATTTTCATCACCGCCAAAAGAATCTCCACACCCATTAGCAGCCACTCCCTATTGCCCCTCTCTCCGCTGACAACCACTAATCAACTTTCTGTCTGGATGGATTTGCCGATTCTGAAATTGCACAGTTGTCCTTTTGTGTCTGCCTTCTTTGACCGAATATGTTGTTTTTGAGGTTCATCCATGTTGTAGCATGGGACAGGCTTCATTCCTTTTTGTGGCTGAGTAGTATCTCATTGTATGGATAGACTGTGTTTTTTTCCCATTCTTAGATGAGGAATATGACCGTGGTTTATCCTTTCACCCATTGACTGACATTGGGAGCATTTCTACCCTTTGGGGTTGTGGATAGAGCTGCCGTGAACATGGGTTTCATGTATTTGTTTGGGTACCTGCTTTCAGTTCTTGGGGGTGTATACTTAGGAGTGGAATTTCTAAGTTATCATGTAACTGCATTTAATCTTTCCTTGCTTTATTTAGCCAGCTTTGCTAACAGCTGCCTAAGTGTAGTGTCCAGGGGCTGACGGCCAGGAGACGGAGTCAGGCTGTGCGGAGGGATTAGCTTTGGGGAACTTGCTTTGACCACAGCACATCCGTGATGACCTGGACCCACATGTGCTCCAATCCACATTCCCGGGGAGGGTGGTTCTCCTGTATTAACTGTCTTCCTTCAGGTGCCTGGATGAAGCCGAAAAGGCACTAAGACCTTCCGTGCCTCAGATCCCTGAGTGCCCGATTTGTGGGAAACCGTTTCTGACCTTAAAGAGCAGAGCCAGCCACTTGAAGCAGTGTGCTGTGAAGATGGAGGTTGGCCCCCAGCTCCTGCTGCAGGCCGTCCGGCTGCAGACAGCACAGCCTGAGGGGAGCAGCAGCCTGCCAGTGTCCAGGTGAGTCAACAAAAAGGAAGAAAACAAGCCAAATATTGCTGTGTGCACTCAGGGCTTTTTCTATCCAAAAAAGCTTTTTATGGGCCGGGCGCAGTAGCTCACACCTATAATCGCAGCACTTTGGGGGAGGTCAAGGTGGGCAGATCACCTGAGGTCAGGAGTTCGAGACCAGCCTGTCCAACATGGTAAAATCCTGTCTCTACTAAAAATACAAAAATTAGCTGGGCGTGGTGGCGCATGCCTGTAATCCCAGCTACTTGGGAGGCTGAGGCAGGAGAATCGCTTGAACCCAGAAGGTAGAGGTTGCAGTGAGCCAAGATCACACCACTGCACTTCAGCCTGGACAAGAGTGAGACTCCGTCTACAAAAAAAAGAGGCTTTTTATGGTGGAGGAAAAAAGAGCCCTCTTTCATTCTGGAAATGAAACACTTAGGGTGGAAATCAGGCACAGTCTAGAAGGGAGTGAGGAGGGGACAGAGTCTGCATTCTGGAAGGCTCTGGACCTGCCCCTTTAGGTGGGTGCAGAAACGATCATCGCACTATTTTCCTCAAGGTCCTTCCTGAGTTTCCAATCCCATGATCCCGCAGTCGATACCCTCTAGTGCAGGGGTCCCCCTGTCTCTTATACACATCTAGATGTGTATAAGAGACAGTCCCTGAGTGCCCGATTTGTGGGAAACCGTTTCTGACCTTAAAGAGCAGAGCCAGCCACTTGAAGCAGTGTGCTGTGAAGATGGAGGTTGGCCCCCAGCTCCTGCTGCAGGCCGTCCGGCTGCAGACAGCACAGCCTGAGGGGAGCAGCAGCCTGCCAGTGTCCAGGTGAGTCAACAAAAAGGAAGAAAACAAGCCAAATATTGCTGTGTGCACTCAGGGCTTTTTCTATCCAAAAAAGCTTTTTATGGGCCGGGCGCAGTAGCTCACACCTATAATCGCAGCACTTCGGGGGAGGTCAAGGTGGGCAGATCACCTGAGGTCAGGAGTTCGAGACCAGCCTGTCCAACAGGGTAAAATCCTGTCTCTACTAAAAATACAAAAATTAGCTGGGCGTGGTGGCGCATGCCTGTAATCCCAGCTACTTGGGAGGCTGAGGCAGGAGAATCGCTTGAACCCAGAAGGTAGAGGTTGCAGTGAGCCAAGATCACACCACTGCACTTCAGCCTGGACAAGAGTGAGACTCCGTCCACAAAAAAAAGAAGCTTTTTATGGTGGAGGAAAAAAGAGCCCTCTTTCATTCTGGAAATGAAACACTTAGGGTGGAAATCAGGCACAGTCTAGAAGGGAGTGAGGAGGGGACAGAGTCTGCATTCTGGAAGGCTCTGGACCTGCCCCTTTAGGTGGGTGCAGAAACGATCATCGCACTATTTTCCTCAAGGTCCTTCCTGAGTTTCCAATCCCATGATCCCGCAGTCGATACCCTCTAGTGCAGGGGTCCCCAACCCCCTGGCCTCGGGCCAGTACCGATCTGTGGCCTGTTAGGAACCTGGCCACACAGCAAGAGGTGAGCAGCGGGCAGGCAAGTTTTACCGCCTGAGCTCCGCCTCCCGTCAGATCAGCGCTGGCGTTAGACTCGTAGGAACACAAACCCTATTGTGAGCCGCGCGTGCGTGCATGGAATCTTGGTTGAGCTCTCCTTATGACACTCTAAAGCCTGATGATCTGAGGTGAAACACTTTGATGCTGAAACCAGTTCCCCGATTCGTGTCCCATGGAAAAACTGTCTTCCATGAAACCAGTTCCTGGTACCAGAAAGGTTGGGGACTGCTGCTCTACCACATCTAAGAATTTGGTAGTCACTTTACTCCATCCATTTCATTGCTGTATGGCATGGTTTCCACCTCAGCGCAGTCCAGTTTTCACACTGTTAACATAAGATTATTCAGCACAGTTCAAAGAGTTGGTGATTGGCCAGGCACGGTAGCTTACACCTGTAATCTGAATACTTTGGAGGCCAGGGCAGAAGGATCACTTGAGCCCAGGAGTTCAAGACCAGCCTGGGCAACATAGCAAGACCCATCACTACAAAAAATTAAAAAATTAGCTGGCTGGTGCTGCACACCTGTAGTCCCAGCTACTTGGGAGGCTGAGGTGGAAGGATCGCTTGAGTCTGGGAGGTCAAGGTTGCAATGAGCTGTGATTGCACCACTGCACTCCAGCCTGGGTGACAGGGCAAGAACCTGTCTTTGTAAAACAAAAACAACAAAGTTGGTGAAACAGAAGATTTTTAGAGGCCCTGCTCACAGCCAGGACACAAGTCCTCAGCATGCAAACCACAGCCACACAAGTGCCAGAGGGCTGGCCCTGCTCTACCCTGTCCTGCTGCTGAGGACACTAGAGCTGACACCAGGTTCATAGTGAACAAAGGCAGCTTGGACCTTTGACTCCTCCAGCTTTGAGACCGCTGTCAAGAGCAAAGGGAACGCCAAAGGCGATGACTCTTTGTCCCGCCCACTGCTTTGCACACAGATCATGAGCAGCCGAGCTGAGTTGGGGATGAGATGGCAGAGGGCAGAAGGGATTCTCTTGGCAGGGGAGCCCATCTATATTTAGCACCTCCACACCAGCATGGTAGGGGTGCAAGCCTTGAGGCCTTAGAATAGAGGTCATCTAAGCCATTGCTTCTTTCTTGTCAGGACCACACCAAAAGCACCTGCTCAGATAAAGTATGTGTGCTTTTTAGAATACCTCCAAGTACTGAAACTAGATGTATGTGGATCCATTTAGAAGGTTGTTAGAGTAGAAAACTACAGGAGCTGGATGCCCTTATGGGGTCTTTGAACCCCTCCCTCCCCCAAGGCCAAGCCTGTGGTCCTCAGAACGCATGCCACGGCCAGAGTACCTCATACTCTTTCCCCACAGTCCAAACCTGGCCTGCTGGGGAGTGAGGAGGGGACAGAGTCTGCATTCCCCTCACAGAGGCAGGGTCCGGCTGCCCAGGCGGCTCCTTTCCCACTGGGAGGCTGTGATTATCCAGGTTCCTAGGAAGGTGAATTTGAGCCATCCCTGGCCCCGTGGAGAGCACGGGCTTTTGCAAAAGCCAGAGGCATGACTGCAGTGCAGGGAAGGTGGGCCCGGTTTGTGCTAAGTTCCTTTGTTGCCTCTGCCCTCCTCCTGCCCAGCTTGTTGGAAGTCACCCAGGCAGCCTAGGTTCTCTCCAGCTGAAAACTCCTGTTCATTTCTTCCCAACCAAACGCACTGCTGCCCACTG